TATCAATAATAAGATTATTACATAATTTATTGAACCATTATCCAAGTGGTTCAAGTATTATCCATTGCATCTTTCCATTTTTGGCACAAAGGCACCATTGTCATTCTTACAAAGTTCACTTTAATCATAAAGACAATTTCTTGAGCCTCTAACTTATTGTTCTAATCACACTCAACTTATACAAGTCAAAACAAACATGTTTAAAGTGATCAACCACTTTTGATAGCTTGGTACAAGCATTGGAAACATGTTCTTCATGCTTGCTTCAAAAACAAGCAAGATAACCATAACATGTGATTCAAAATCTGAGTTGTTTGAAGTCTCAAACCTTCTCTATAAATAGAGAAGCCAATTGCAAGAGAAAATGTCAGAAAAAAGAAGAAGTGGAAACTAACACTCAAAATCATTCTTGCTGTCAAAAAGCAGAATTGCCCATAAAACCTTCATTTTTGAGCTTTAAAGTCCAAATCTTTGAATCTCATACCTTGCAGTTTTCTCCAAACAAACCATCCAAACACTCCACATACATCATATAGAAGTTGTTCAAACACAAAAACAACTTCTGTAACATCACTATCATCACTTCCCAAGCTTAACAACAGCCCATACAGCAGCTCAAACTCAAAGCACAAATTTCAGTTTCAAGGTAAGTTTTCTTGACTTTGAACTCTTCATACAAGCATCATTAATGGTTCATTTGTGAAGATATAATGTAGATATAATTGCCTTGAAGCTAACCATATGCTTGCTTTTCATTTTCACTAACCATGTGTTGAGAACTAACTTTTACATGTAGCAAAACAGTGATAAAAGCAAAAAATAGCAGTTATGCGTCGATACGAAATGCTATGAGTCGACACATATTGTGTTCAAAACAGGTTATGAGTCGACACGAAACACGTATGCATCGATACGAAATGATTATGAGTCGATACGAAACTAGTATGCGTCGACTCATACTAAGTTGTTTTGACTTCTAGGAGCATGAGCCAACACATGAGCCGACACGAAATCTGCATGAGCCGACACGAAATCTGCATGAGCCAATATGAAATCTGCATGAGCCAATACATAAGCTCATGTGTCAGCTCATAAAACTTTGTTTTTTTTTATCTTTTTTTAATTTTAATTTTATTTTTTTCTTTATACTTTTATTATTACTATTTTTATATAAAAAATCAAAAATATATATATATTTTATTTAAATATGTACGCATACACTTTTATTTTATTCCTTTTTTCTAAACTAAAAAAATGACAAAAAAAAATTTCTTATTAAAATCAATTTCTTTTCTTAAAATTAATTTAATATTTAGACTTAGGTTTTATTTCAATTTATTTATTTTGATTGAATTAATTTAGACATTAGGATTTTAATTAATTTCTCTTCAAATCAATTAGAACCTTCTTCATAAAAAAAACATAAAAACACTTCCTCTTCTCTTTATATTTCTTTGTACATTTTATTATTTCGCACTATAATTATGTAATTGTCAAAGCCTTGTAATAGTAAATTAGTTTTATTTGCTTTCATCTTCCCATTTGTAAATTTGTACACCCCTCCCCTAATGATGTAATAGCGTAGTAATTTTACTTTCCGCAATTTATCGCTTTAATACAAATGTTAGTAATTAGGGTTTGTATGGCAAGACTAAAATCAACAATTAGTAAACCCTAATCAAGACAAACACAAAGCATGAAAATCAATACACTTGCACACAAGCACCCCTAGGGTAAATCCACTTGGTTGCCTTACAAAAATGACCATATTACGCATGTGAGGTATCTTAGTAAAGACAAGCAAAAATACAAGATCATAGTCCCTCAATGACGCTATCAAAAGTTGCCTTTCCAAATGACCTTAGTCCTTCAAAGAGAATTGCTAAGATATTCACAACATTGTTATCATGGCTATACGATGACCCGCGCCCGTTCCTTTACATCCAAAGATAGGGTTACTTACCAAATCAATGGTAAGATAACAATGTCAAAGGAAAAAAGAAATGAACATGAAAGACTTTTGAGTAGGTAGAATGCTCCTAATTACTTGCTCCATTTCTAACAAAATATCCTTGCTATTTTAAAAAAAAAAACACTTACACATTTCAAAAAATCTTACAAAATTGAAAATATTTTCAAAAGATCAACATCTTTGTATACATTCTTACAAACGAGAATCATTACAAAGATTGCCTAAACAATGGCCTCTTTACAAAAATACTTTCAAAAACCACACAAAGCACAATTTCAAACAAAAGTAAGTGATCTAGCAAGTAACTAAGAGCCCATGGAAAACCATGGATGAAAAGGGTGCTAATATCTTCCCTTTTCATAATCTACCCCCCGAACTCAAGAAACAATCTCAAAGGTCTTTCCTGTGCTTTTTCACCTTTCCTTTTAGATAAAAGAAAAGTCGGTGGCGACTCTTGCTAACCGCAACATTTGCAATCAAACGCAAAACCTTCAAGTCAGTTCTCCCACCATATCACAGTGTGGAATAAGTTAATGTTGGATTGAAGGATGGAAATGTTGGAGTAGACTCAACCAATGTTGGAGTGGAATCAAACAATGTTGGAGTGGAATCAGTCAATGTTGGAGTGAAGGATGTCAAGTTTGGAGTGGAATCAGACAATGTTGGAGTGAAGGATGTCAATGTTGGAGTGGAATCAATCGATGTTGGTGAGGTGCATGATGAGTACAATTCTGATGACAATGAGGATGACAACTACCAGTATGATAATGCTCTTAAAGTAGCTTTTGTGGATGACTTTGATGGGTATGATGAGATGGAGGAAGATGAACTTGCTAATCTGATTGGATATGAAAGTGATGGAAAGGGAAAAGGGAAAGAAAAGTGGGAAGAAGATAAATAATAATTCAAAGGGAGTGATAATGACAGTGAAGATCTGCAAAGTGGTTGTGAGAGTGATGATAGTATTGGATCTAAAAGGAAGAAGTACCTAATTTTCAAGTTACAAAAGGTATGTCTAATTACAAATGGGGGGTAAGAGTGTATTTTACTTTAAAAAGTGATATTAAGGAAGCAATAACCTCATATGCTGTTCAAATTGGTAAAGACTTGAAGTTTAAAAAAATTACAAAAAAAGGGTGAGGGTGAGATGTAAAGATGGTTGTTATTGGGAAGTATATTGTGCCAAGTTTCCAAATGAGCAATCTTTAGAAGTAAGGAAGGTAAATGACAGGCATAATTATAGCAGAGAGTATAATGTGAAGATGATGAATACACAGTGGTTGAGCAAGAGGATTCAGAATTCCTTGAAAATAATCTTAGGATGAAGGTAACGGATATCAAGGAAAAGGCACTAAGAAAGTAAAATGTAGGGGTAAACAAGACTAAAGCAATAGGAGTAAGACTTACTGCTAGGAACAAGGCTAATGGTTCTTTCTTAGGGGATTAAACTAGAATTGATGACTATTGTCATGAACTGTTAAGAGTTAATCCAGGATCAACGGTTAAGCTAAATGTTGAACCTGTTCAATAAGGCGTTGATGATCAAAGACCCTTTTTAAGAAGGTTGTACATATGTTATGCAGCATGTAAGGATAGCTTCAAGTTATGTAGACATGTCATGGGTCTGGATGGATGCTTTCTGAAGGGGCTTTGTGGAGGACAAATTCTGGCAGTGATAGGCAGGGATCCTAATGATCAGATGCTTCCTTTAGCATTTGCAGTTGTGGAGGGTGAAAATAGGGATAGCTGGACATGGTTTTTGGAGCTCCTGATTGATGACCTAGGAGGTAGAAATGGGTGTCTCTCATACACATTCATTTCAGACTAACAAAAGGTATGTAAACTTGATTATTTCCTCTTATTATTACATGATTATTTTCTGTTATCTAAACTTGATAATTTTATGTTATGTATGATATTGTACAAGGTCTCTTACCTGCAATGGATGATCTTTTGTCTAATGTTGAATAAAGATTATGTGTGAGGCATTTGTATAACAATGTAAGGAAGAAGTATCCTGGAAATATGTTGAAGGAAACAATATGGAAGGCTACAAAATTAACATACTCATAAGCTTGGGAAAGAGAAATGAGAGGAATGAGATTGATCAATGAAGATGCATATCTCCATATGATGAAGATCCCACCAAGATATTGGAGTAGATCATATTTAGAACAACTAACAAATGTGATGTTGTTCTAAACAACATGTCAGAGTCTTTTAATATTATTATTCTTGACTCAAGGGATAAACCATTAGTCACGATCAGAACCTATATTATGTAAAACTGATATGTAAATGGACTAGTACAAACAATATCCTGCCAAACAAACCAACTCATATTTTAAATATAATTAATTATATATTTAAATTGAGCTAACACATACCGGTTACTTTATCAACAAAAAAATGTAAAATAATTTAGATGAATAAAGAAAAAGTAGAAAATAAAAGGAAAAGAGAAGTTGAATTAAGGCGGGCGGGATAGCCAGGTGGATTGTATATAACGAAGGACTGCCTGGATGGCAATTCAGTGCGACTCACATCGCTGCCTGCCTGCCTCTTAACACAAACAAACTATTATTCTTATTCTCTTCCCTTCATTTCATTCAAAATAAACACAAACAAAATCCACAAGTTTTGGATTCAAATTCCAAACCCAACGGGAATAGGCTGTTTTTGCGTTTATTCGCAATTCAACAAGCCTCTTCTCCTCCTTCATTTTCTACACCTTCTTAAGGTACCAAACGCTGCGTTTTATTCCTCCTATATTTCTTCCACGCAATCACCTTGTGTATTGCTTTCATAATATTGTTACAATTCTCTAATTTCCTTTGCCTCTATTTCAATGCAAATTTGGTTTCGGTTGCTTTCTTGATTCTAATTCAGATCTGCACGGACATCATTTATTTGCTATTTCATTTTTCTCTGAAACTTTTTTCTTATTGAAATGAAAATTGTTGTTATTATGGTTTATCATTATAATTAAGTGTTGCTTCAAATTTGCATGCAGGTGTAAATTTCAAAAATGGTTGCAACTGCTGCAACATCCTCGTTTTTTCCTGTTACTTCATCCTCTGACATTGCTGGAAAACCCTCCAAACATGGAGCTACCTCTGTTAACCTTGGAGGATTCAAATCCAAACAAACCTCTAATGGAATAAACCTTAAGGCAAATGCGTCCCCTTCCAAAACCAACGGAACCACAGTGTTTGCTGCAACGCCGGTCAAGGTTGAAAATGATTCAATATCACAACAACATCATCAAAGGACATTCATCAATCAGTTGCCTGATTGGAGCGTGCTCCTTGCTGCCGTTACAACAATTTTCCTTGCTGCTGAAAAGCAGTGGACCACGCTTGATTGGAAGCCCAGACGACCTGATATGCTCGCTGACCCTTTTGGTATAGGAAAAATTGTTCATGACGGTTTTGTGTTTCAACAAAATTTTCCTATTAGATCCTATGAAATAGGTGCTGATAAAACCGCGTCTATAGAGACGTTAATGAATCATTTGCAGGTAAGCTTGTTCAAAATTGTGTTGTTTATGTAGATACAATTGTTATGGATTGTAACAAACTTGTATATTAAATTTGCAATACTAAGAATAGCAGCTTGGTGTTTATTTTAATTATTTGTTTTGATAACAGGAAACTGCACTTAATCATGTTAAGACTATTGGGCTTCTTGGGGATGGCTTTGGTTCTACACCAGAAATGTGCAAAAAGAACCTGATATGGGTTGTAACTCGAATGCAAGTTGTGGTTGATCGTTACCCGGTGTGGTTAGTCAGTCTGAACTCTAAACTCACCCTTTTAATTTATTTTCTGAGCTGCATAGATGTTCATGTCCAGCTGCTGTTTGTATTTCTATCTTGGAGGTTTTTTAATGTATGAAAGAGAAATACATAACTTGTAACTGAATTTATCTTACTTCTGCTTTTCTTCCATGTACTATACATGATGATCCACACAACTCGCGTAATAGTTGGGAACTTGGGGTTTTAACTATGAACGTTTTAATTGTAATATCTAAGAAATTAATCTGGGGAAGGGACGAATAGGGCACAGTGATTGATATTGCTATAATTGGTTGGAGTCACTGAATCAACCTCCTACAAATGTTTGGTAAGACTGCATATGGTATGGATTCGTTCCTTTTCCCGGATCCCGCGTTCCCAGGAGTTTTGTAGCACAACATGACCGTTTCATGTTCAATTCTTTTGGGATGATAATAGATCTAGTAAGTATAAGCTTTGCACATTATAAATTGTAGGGTTTGGGGTTTACTTTGCCTTTAGGCTGTTAACAGGATATGAAATATAACATGATGTTAGCTATTAATTTGTTGACCTACTTTTATAAAAGTTTTGTAGATTTCTTGAGTTAGCCTAGCAACCTTTATGGTAAAAAGGTGAACACATACACTTTTGAAAGAAGCAACTTATACTATTTGGACTTTGCAAATTGCTTTGTTATGCTAGGAATAATATTCTGTATCTGTTCATCTGAAGTTGAGTGAATCTGTATTTTCTCTAGGGGTGATGTTGTTCAAGTAGACACTTGGGTTTCTGCATCTGGAAAGAATGGTATGCGTCGTGATTGGGTTGTGCGTGATATCAAAACAGGTGAAGTCATGACAAGAGCATCCAGGTAGAAAAGTCAATTCAAAAACTTTTTCAGTCCTTTCTTCTGTGGCCATTAGACATGATTAGACTGTTTTTCTGAATGTGTATGCCTTGTGAGTAACCTCTGTTTTTAATCTTGCAAGCTTTACTAAGTTGTGTGTATGTTAATCTTAGTTTATCCTATTTCACAAGGATTGAAAATTGAATATTCAGTTTGCTTTTATCAAATCGGTTTGAGATTTCAGTGGAGCATATAGAAGCTTTTTATTTTCACTGAGAATTTTCTATTCTACCAACAGAATTTTATATTTCAAATAGTACATGAAGCACCTTGGCTCTAGTAACAAATGTAATTTCTGATATGTTGGTTTTTGTTTTTGATGTTTTACAGTGTTTGGGTAATGATGAATAAGCTGACAAGGAAACTGTCTAAAATTCCAGAGGAAGCCAAAGAAGAGATAGAGCCTTATTTTGTTAATTCTAATTCAGTTGTGAATGAGGATAAGAGAAAGCTAACTAAACTTGATGATACGGCTGAATATATTCGTACTGGTTTAAGTGTACGTGAACTATTTTTCCATCTGTTAATATCATAGATTTAGTCTTTTGAATATATTCTAATTATGTTGTACAATTGATCTCTATTTTCAGCCCAGATGGAATGATCTAGATGTTAATCAGCATGTTAATAATGTGAAGTACATTGGATGGCTTCTGGAGGTAAGTTTCTAATCTTCTAATCATATCTACTCCCCTCTTTGCTCTATAGTTTTCTTGTTTTTTTCGATAAAATGAATTGGTCACTTTTGAGGGGTCATTATCCTTTTTTATTGCTGCAGAGTGCTCCGCAGCCAATTTTGGAGAGTCATGAGCTGCATTCAGTGACTTTGGAGTACAGGAAGGAATGTGGGAGGAACAGTGTACTTGAGTCCCTGACTGATGTAACGGATGCCGACATAGGAAATTTAGCTGACAGTGGATTTGTTGAATGCAAACACTTGCTTCGACTGGAAGATGGTGCGGAGATTGTGAGGGGTCGGACGGAGTGGAGACCGAAACCTGTCAACAGTTTTGATGTTTTGAACCAGGTTCCATCACAGAACATATAAATGTTGTGTCACAGAACAGGATTCCCCGGTTGCTATGTGCAGATTGGATTTCACCTTTTCTTGCTTTTGTGAGATCCCCGTGTATTAAATGTAGACTAATATATGTGTTAATTTAACGGGTGAAAGAGGGAAAGGATAGTGAAATATCATTCTCATTCTCATGGTAATTAGCTCCTTATGGTACTGCAAGGTGTCAATAAAATTATTTAATTGTTTCTTCAAAATGGCTAAGCATGTATATTAAATTGGTTTCTGTCTTAATTTTCAATTCTAAATTATTGCTACTTTATTTTGTTTTGGTAATAGAAAGAGAGATAATAACCATTAAAAAATCATACACTTAAGACAACCGTGAATATAAGAATTTGAACTATAACAAAATACAACTTAGCAATATTGACTTTCGTATGTTGACTAAGTTATTGCTTCTTTAAATAGATTATATAGATAGGTAAACAACTGTTTATAATAAAGGCTTATTTTATTTATGTCTGACAACTGTGACAGCATAATCTAGCGAAAATCTGTTAACTTTCAGTTATCACACATTAATTACTAGAATAGGTTGGGTAGTATAGGTTGGGTAATGGTACCAACACTATTAAATAAATGAAAAATATTTGTGCCAACTTATATCAATACTTAATAAATTTATATGATATCTAAGTTCTAACATAACTCTTTTATTATTTTAATTATAGCCCAATAATATAGTTTTGAAAAGTTTAGGTATTTGTTGTACATTCTTTCCAGGTATTGTACTTAAAGCTTCAGTTATTGTGATTTTTTTATAGACTATGTATTTCTTTTTTGGAAATGATGGAAATATCAAAGTTTGTTTTCATCATTTTTAAAATTGCATTATCAAGATCACTTTAACATACATATTCATTATTTTGGTAATAATTAGTTTTAAAAGTGATCTAACCTGATCAGAGTTGGACCGTCACAGTTGAGTTCGGGCTGAGCTTAAATGAGATGGGGGTACATGCAAGACACTCTGATGGTAAAGTGAGAAGCGGAATGAGCGAGCAAATATGAGTTTTAGGTGTGAATGAATAAATACCTGACCCTCTTGTGAGAGAGGGTATTTATAGCCCCCAACGCTGGGTCAAGATCCCCATTATTGGGTCACGCAGAGGCCCAATAACGGGAACTGCCAGGGTTTACGTGTGTGTGGAGTCTAGCAAGTGAACTCCTCCCTGGTCAACTGCTCCGCGAGAATAGGGCTGGACCCGAGATTCCTAGAGGGTAGTTTAGGATGTCTGTCAAATGGGCCACGTCCCCCAACGGTTGGATGGGGAGTTGTCCCACAGTCCCCAACTTGGGTTGTCTTTGGACCTCTCGCTCGTAGGGAAAATATAGGCCCAGTCCAGATCAGGAGCCCCCCCAAGTTATTGTCCTTGAGTTAGAGGACGGTGACTTGAGTTCAGCTCTCGTTATCGAGGACTTGGTCGAGGTAGAGGGTCAAAGTCCCCGAAGGGAGCGGGTCGTTGCCCGTGGGGGGCTAGGCTCGAATACGTCGAGGAATATCATGGACAAACGGGGATCGAGACCGAAGGGTTCAACCGCTTGCTCGAGGGGACACATTGGCGGGGAGCCTCTGCGAGATTCCCTTTGACATGCCCATCTCCTGGGAGTTGTTAGTTTGTCGAGCATTTCCTCGTCCTCGAGACGGTTAAATAAATGTACCCCTTCATGCACTCTAGTGCCGAGCATTTCCTCGTGTAAAGTGTTTGCCCCCTAAGTTTGTGTGTGACATGTAGGAGTCGGACATATGCTCGCCAGTCTAGAAGGGGCTTTGTGGTTGATAGTTGGGCCACGTGGCTAGTGCTTTGGGGTGTCACCCATTCAAGGAAAAAGCAAAAGGGACCAATGAGGTGATGACCCTTCATGTGGGATCCCTTGGGGCGTGGGTCACCTATAAAAAGGGGGCCCTTGGGACTCATTTGTCACCTTCTTAAGTTTCCTCTCAATATTTTCTTTGCTCGCGGCGTGAAGCGATTCTCTCAACCTCTCAGCTTTTCTTCGCTTGTGGCGTGAGGCGATCCTCTCAACTTTTCAGTTTTTTCCTCAAAGTTCTTCATCCAAGTAAGTTATAACCTCTCAACACCAAGTTTCTTGAGCTTTTCTGGATTAAATGTCAAAAATTTGTCTTGATTGGATGAACATCCATGAGTTTTGTGATGAATGTTCATCTGAACTCATGGGTTTCGTGTCGAGCACTCATGAATGTACCGGGCACCTATGAACAAACATTCATGAGTTTTATGAATATTCACGAATGTTCATCTGGGTTCATGGGTTCCGTGTCAAACACTCATGAATGTGTCGGGCACCTATGAACATTCATGTTATAGTATCGGGGGGATTCCTTACGTTAGTATGTATCCGGGTTTTTGCTCAGTGAGTGATTCCCCAACTACATGTCCTCGGATTGTAATGGTCTGTTTAGCATGTCGAGGGCTTGGGTCGAGTTTGTCGCCCTTTCACTTGATCTGCGGTGGAATGGTGGATTTGATAATGTCGAATTCACTAACTTCCCTTGCTTTTCTGGTACAATGGCACGCTGTCGAGGGGGCGACATTCTGGCTGCCCATCATGACGACGAACCCCGTAGCGATGAGGATCCTTTGGCTTAGGTTGCTCTGAAGCCCAGGGACAAATGATCGTGCTTTTCGCAGGATGCGACAGACGCGTTCAACTTCCTGGAAGAACGCACGGATGGGGCTCCGGCCAACTGGATGCTTCAAATTCCTCATGGGGACCGAAGGATATGCTCGACGTATCTGGGCAAATGGTTCCCCATGTACGAGTTTGCTTTCAAGGAGGCGGGGATGCGCCTGCCTTTTAACGATTTCCAAGTCGGGGTTTTCCATTGGCTTCAATTGGCGCCTTCCCAACTCCATCCAAACGCGCTGGCGTTCATGCGGGCGTTCGAGCTCGTCTGCCAATACCTGGGGATAGGCGCCACGCTGCCCCTTTTCTTTCGTATATTTCATCTGCAAAGACAATTTGTCCAAGGGAGACAGGCGTGGGTATCCTTCAAGCAGTTCGGGAAACTCTTCCAGCCTTATCTAGAGTCCGTGCGAAATTTTAAGGAGAGGTACTTCATCGTGAAGCCCTTAACGGACACGGCCATAGATTCTCTCTATGCCCGCGTGGAAGAGCTAGAGGACGAGCGGCCAGTTACCCGACTTATGGCCCGATTCCTGCTCGAGTTGTAGTGGAGGCATTACGAGCAAAGGCCCGAATACTATGCGGTGAGACCTGAGGATTTAGATGCCCAAGATCATCTTTCGTACGAGAAGTTGTCGGCTTACGTTAAAGGTTTCTCCCTCGCGAAGTGTGTGGACGTGAATGGTGCCCTGTTGTTTGACGAGGAGGGGGAGTATCTCTTAGTCAATAGGTTGATCAATTCTAAGGTCATGCTCGAGTGCTCCTCGAATGGGGAAGCCATGAGGCTCTTGGGTAAGGTGTAGCTGTTTATTTGCTCCTTTTATAAGCGGGGACGTGTCCGCTCTGTTTTTATTTTTCCAACTCGACTAACGATTCTCTTTGACTGCAGGTCGAATGGCGTCTCTTTCCGAGCATTTGTTGAAATTGAGGCCTAAAAACGCATCCACTTCTGGACCATGAAGCAGAGTTTCCCAACTTCAGGAGCATACCAAGTCTACCAGTCGGGGTAGTGGTTCCCCCTCCTCCTCGAAAAATCCAGCTTTTTCTAATTCGGCCCAGATTCCGGTCAACGAGCCTGTGGCCAAGAGTAAGCGTGCAGATAACGCTACGGGCGTACTGTCGGGGGGTGACAAAACATCTGCGAGGGTTTTCGTGTTGCCTCCGTGCTATCTAAACTGCGACCTCTTCCGCGATGGGGACTCCCTCGGCCTGCACGAGGAGGAGAGGGGGGCCATTTTGACTGAAGACAAGGAGCTTCGCCGGAAGCACTTGGCCGAGGACGTGGCTGCTGTGTTGAGGGTGCTCGAGATGACCCTTTCGCTCAACAACGAGTCCTCGAGCGCTCAAGCCGCTCTCGATGCGGCCTACGCCAAAATCCACAAGCTGAAGGTCAAGAATGAGAAGTTGAAGGGCGACATCCTCAACCATGAGTCAAGATTCGAGGCCCAAGTCCAGCTTCTCAAGGATTTAAACGAACTAAGGCCTCAGCTGGAGACGGCCACAAGGGAGAACGAGCGTCTGGTCGCTCGTAATTTAGAGCTAGAAGGGATGAATGCGTCGGTCGAGGATGAGACCGAGACGGAGAAGAACATGGCGACTCAGGCAGATTTGATTGCTCGCACCCGCTTGCTCGAGCAGGACGTGATTGATACTCTTGGATACGGCTTCAACATCGCTGTCGAGCAACTGAAGATCTTAAATTCCGGGGTCGAGTTAGTGGTTGAGGGGGCGGGGCCATTCAATCAATTTGTTGACGGGAAGATCCTTTATCCCCCGGATGATAGCGACGGGGAGGATCAAGTTTGAATGTATTCAGTTCAGGGTCTGCGTGCCCGTTGTTGTTTTAGGGCCTGCGTGCCTGCTATTATTCTTTTGATTTTGAGGCCGTCGTGCCTAAATTGTAAATTCGAACAACGCCGGCCCTTGTGGTCGGCATATTATAATTGCGTTATTTATTTGTTTCTTTGAGTATTGATAACTTTTGGATGTACGTGCCCGACCATTGTTATGGTCGTTATGAATATTTTCACGAAGTTCTTGTTCGCGTGGAGATGCATGTTCGACCCTAATATCGGTTCGACACACTTTGAAATGTGTCGAGGATGCAGAGTGGTTGTCCACGGGACGGACGTATGATCGCGATCGGGATCCTATGCTTGTGGCGTGAACTTCCCATCGCGAGCTGGGTGTTCTTCCATGTTGGGGTACTTCGACAGTGGGGCTCGATCGAGGTGTCCCTATCGGGCAAGGATGTTGCTCGTCAATGTGAGCGACATTATGCTTTCGTTGGTTGGTAGGCTGCGTCCGTACCTCGACACGCC